GAAAGTACACCGGAAGTGTCACTGAGCATAGTGGCATGTGCCAATGGCATCTGTGCGTCAAATGTCATGTCACTTAATGTTAAAACTGCTGCTGAGAAAATCCCCCTGGGGACGTTAAAAATGATTATATGTGTAGTTTTGACACCAAGTATGAAATGCATTAGTTTCTCACTGATTTCATTAAGAATGTGCACTAAGGAAGTGCTCACAAAGTTTACAAAGTCAGAGCATGTCATTAGCAAACAGGTAATATGCTAATAAAAACACAACATTAATTTTTAAAAGGCAGCACACAGTTTTATACACAATTTATGCCTTCTTGATCCTTGATGGAGTCTTTAGTACCCGACCACTGCGTTCTGGCAACTGACTGATATATGCAACAGCCACTTGAAGCCTACCGTCCCGAATAACTTTCACTTTAAAGCAACTGTATGTAGCTTGGTGTATTTTTGCAACTTTGGCGCCCCTACAGTTAAAGAGGCTGCATGTAGAATTCGGAAACCTTCACCGGTACAACTGTTAAGTGAACTGCAGACAAAAAAAGTTTATAAATACCTTTGCAACGAACGTCCAGACGCCGTCCACGCTGCTGAGAGCGACGTTGCGATGAATATGTAACGTTAATGTGGTGAGCGCTTTGCCTTTCCTCTCAATAACAAAATGAATACCTACGCAACATAAATAACAGCGAGACTATAGACTTAGACTAGCTTGAAGTAATCCCTTTTTTGTATGACACATTGACATAACAATACAGAATAGCTCTTTTTCAGCACTACCTGAACATAAGCCTTTATTTAATGTGTCACGGAAAAAAAAATTTTAGGGAGCGCGCGTAAATGTCACATTCTTTTAATTTCCGGTAAAAAAGGTTCTGAGACCTTTACATAAAAATCAGTCCACAGGCTTTTATAGACAGCCTAGGAAGTCGGGGAATGTCTTTTAAGTGTAGTTACAAGCCGTTTACACATTGGCAATAAAAAGTGATTAATAATGCATTTATAAGGCAATCCGGTGTCCTGACATTTTATCCTACCCGTCAGATTTTCCTACCAGGGCTTACTGCGCATGCGCACATCAATATTGCGTCCTTTTTGTCGTGCTGAATAACAATATTTAATGTATCTGTATTACTGTAAGGGTAGGTTTAGGGTCGGGGTAGGTGTAGACTTTAATAAAACACAATCTAATAGGTACAAAAAATTATTTATTGTTGGTTTCCGGTAGCTGTATCCCTTCTAGCCACAACCGCGAATATAACACATAATTACTGTATTTGCATTACTGTAAGGGTAGGTTTAGGGTTGTGGTAAGTGTAGAAATGAATAAACCATAATTTGACAGTTAGCATTTATCGTTGTCGAATTGTACTACCTACTGTTTTAATGCGAGGTAGCAAAATCTGACAGGGTAGCACAAATCGACAGAACACCGGCCTTCGTACCCACTCACCAAACTTATATACTCCTAACAGACGTTAGGGGAAAAAAACAGAAGCCATTCACCTTATTAGAAATCAGTGTACCATCAAAGTGACTTAAAACTGATCTTTAAACTTACATACAGTTGTTTTAATATGTCCAAATCACATGGTTGTTTTCATAAGGCTTTCTGATCTTTACCTGACCCCACACTATCAGAAAGTGTAGGCCGAATCACTAAAACCAATGAAAAATATTCATACCATCTGTACGATTTGAAGTGCTTTCTCAGAACTCAGACTTTGCGCTCAGAGAGCTCTCATGTGTGCCTTTCAGGTCCCCGCTTGTAGCGCCGGACCCCCCCGACTTGTCTCTGCAGAAAATCCTGCGAACGCTTCCCCTGAACTTCTCAGCCGCAAACAGATAGACCAGGGGATCCAAAGCCCCATTCAGGCAGGTTAGAGAGGAAGTAAGCCGGTTAGCCAGGGCTAGTCCTCTTTTGATTTGGCAGGATAGGTCTGGGTGTGAGTAACCCAGGATGAAGGTTGCACGGCTTAAGTGATAGGGCAAAAAACACACTATGTAGATGAGCATGACCAGACCAATGGTGCGGAGAGCTCGGAGTTTGAGTGCTGGCTCCAGCCTTGAACCTTTCCGCAGACTGTTCACTATCAGCAGGTAGCAAGACAGTGTGGCAATAAAAGGTGGTGTGAAGGCTACGACGAGAGAGATGAGCGCACGCCGTGAAGCCTTTTCTCTGTATAGCTGCAAGCATACAGTAGAGCCATTGACTTCTGCAGTCTGCTTAGTGACCAGTAGGGGTGCCATAGACACTATCACCAAAGCCCATAGTGCAAAACTGGCTATGTGAGCGTAGCGAGGGCGCCTGACCTTAAGGGAATGTACGGCGTGTACTACAGCAAGGTATCTATCGCCTGCAACACAGGCCAGGAAGTACAAGCTGGCGTACATGTTGACATAAAAGAAGAAGCCCGCAAGACGGCAGGGGATTTCACCAAATGGCCAGTGTCCCCCGGTTAAATGATAAGTGGCTCTGAGGGGTAAAACGAAGACGTAAAACATGTCGGCCACAGCGAGATGAAGCAGGAAGACGTTGGCTGGAGAAGAGTTGCCTCTCTGGCGGGCGAAGATCCACAGGGCAAGGCTATTGCCGTTCAGCGCCAGGAGGAAAACTATGATGTAGTAGAATCCAAAGATCATGTTCTCCACTGTATTGTCCACAGGTGGACAGCTCTCCATGGATTGATTGGACAGCAAGGTGGGAAGTTCTGTCAGGGGGGACTCCATTTTTGTAACTGCAAACAGAGGAAAAGAAAAACATTTTTATTAATTGTTTAAATTAATTAAAATCTAATATCAACTGATAATATAAATGCTAATATAAAATAATTCTATCCATGTTATTTTTGAATTTATGTAAATATTCAATTAATACATGTAAAACCATATATACACACACACACACACACACATATATATATATATATCATGAAGATATTTTGTACATTTCCTACAGTAAATATGTGCTCCTGGACCACAAAACCAGTCATAAGGGTCAATTTTTCAAAATTTTGATTTGTTAGGATAGGACAATATTTGGCCGAGATACAACTATTTGAAAATCTCACAAAACCAGTCATAAGGGTCAATTTTTTGAAATTGAGATTTATACATCATCTGAAAGCTGAATAAATAAGCTTTCCATTGATGTATGCAAAACAATCTAAATATTGAGAAAATCGCCTTTAAAGTTGACCAAATGAAGTTCTTAGCAATGCATATTACTAATCAAAAATGAAGTTTTGATATATTTACGGTAGGAAATTTACAAAATATCTTCATGGAACATGATCTTTACTTAATATCCTAATGATTTTTGGCATAAAAGAAAAATCAATCATTTTGACCCATACAATGTTTTTTTTGGCTATTGCTAAAAATATAACCAAGCGACTTAAGATTGGTTTTGTGGTCCAGGGTCACATATATCAAAACTTAATTTTTGATTAGTAATATGCATTGCTAAGAACTTAATGTTGACAACTTTAAAAGCTTTTTTTCAATATTTAGATTTTTTTTTGCACCCTCAGGTTCCAGATTTTCAAATAGTTGTATCTCAGCCAAATATTGTCCTATCATGATAACCATACATCAATGGAAAGCTTGCTTATTCATTTAAACCCTTATGACTGGTTTTGTGGTCCAGGGTCCACATGACATTGAAAGACATAACACGCACGCACGCACACAGTTTTTAAAGGGGTCATATGATGCTTTTCATCATTATTTTGTGCATTTGGTGTAACAGAATATGTTGACATGCTTTAATGTTCAAAAAACACATTATTTTTCAAATACTGTACATTATTGTAGGTCCTAATTTTATGATGGTTTTAAGATGGATTAAATTGATAGGCATGACAGTAAAGACTATATATATATATATATATATGCAGGTTCCACAGAAACATTAAGCTTGTATGTATGTATGAGATGGTGCCCCTAGAGAGCTGGTCCCCTAAACAGGCTGCATAATTTAAAGCTATAAATAATACAAATTTGTAAAAACACATTAAAATTGATAGATCAACAAAAATTTCCATGTTTGGCACACACTTCCATTACATATCCAAACCAACCTATGCTGCATTCAAGTTAATTTGATAGAACCCAAAAAGATGTTATAAAAAACATCTGCTTTTGGGAATATGCTTCCAAAGTTGACCGTTGTCAAAACATGTTTACAAAAAAGGAGCAAAGGACACAGCAGTGATACACCAAGTAACACTTTTTATTCCAGCAGCAGTAAATGTTTTCCTCTCTGCGCACTTTGAGTAGTGAGGGAGGGAGTGTTACAGCTGTCTCGGTGTTTGGCAGTAATTCAGATATTTGTGTCTCAGGAGTCTGAGCAGATGTCCCTGTGGAGCAGTTGACTACACACTCATCGCACCTCCACACACGCTACGCTGCATGAAGGTGCTGGTGCATCCGGTGGCTACACCAGAGCCACTCCCGGCTATCTGCTTACAGTCGGAGCCAGCTGTCCTCGTGGCATTCTGCTTTGTCAAATCATTGGCGTGTGCGCAGCACAGGGCAGCCTGCCTCAGATTCAGTGAGCAAACTCTTTTTGGAAGAGGCATTCATTCGAGCCCGCCATCCAATAACAGTTGCACTATTAATAATCAGGCCGAATGAAGCATCTGCAGGGATAAGCTGAAGACCTTTTTAAGAAAGGTTCAAAGCAGGGGAGAAGTTCACCTGTTACTACTAGAGCTGTAGCTGACAGAATGGAGTTTTTTTTTTATCTTTGTGATATTTTTGAAATATCATTACGAATATTGCATAATAGAAGGTTGTCATTTCAATACATTTCGAAATGATTTCAGTGACATGATGTATTGTCAGGATTACAAAATACAATAAAATGAAAAATTATATATATATATATATAAAAGGAGCAAAGGACACAGCAGTGATACACCAAGTAACACTTTTTATTCCAGCAGCAGTAAATGTTTTCCTCTCTGCGCACTTTGAGTAGTGAGGGAGGGAGTGTTACAGCTGTCTCGGTGTTTGGCAGTAATTCAGATATTTGTGTCTCAGGAGTCTGAGCAGATGTCCCTGTGGAGCAGTTGACTACACACTCATCGCACCTCCACACACGCTACGCTGCATGAAGGTGCTGGTGCATCCGGTGGCTACACCAGAGCCACTCCCGGCTATCTGCTTACAGTCGGAGCCAGCTGTCCTCGTGGCATTCTGCTTTGTCAAATCATTGGCGTGTGCGCAGCACAGGGCAGCCTGCCTCAGATTCAGTGAGCAAACTCTTTTTGGAAGAGGCATTCATTCGAGCCCGCCATCCAATAACAGTTGCACTATTAATAATCAGGCCGAATGAAGCATCTGCATTCAATTTATTAACTATGAATAATATATGAATATATTAAATATTTTGCCATAATCTTAAAAAAATATATAAAACAATGATTAATACTTCAATAAAACTGCTTCACTACTTAATAATATGAAAAAAAAAACACCTGTGTCTGCCAAATAATATTCATGTGGTGCAACTAACATGCAAAAATAAGCATGAACATGAAAGAAAAAGAAAAAAAAGAGGACCCCAGGGTAGTTCAGGTTTCAACGTCATGTGGTGCAACTCCCACAAAACTTAAATGATATTTATAAATTAATAAATCATAATTTGTAAATAAATAAATACTAAAGAATACATTTAGATTTGTTTTAAATAAACTCATATGTATTCAAGGAATAAGTAGGAAAATATGACTTTCTTTCTTATTTGTCAGATAGTCCAAATGCACCCTTCGGAATACTTAGATTTGGAATAAGAGTATTTGGAATACTCTTACTCTGAAAGATGTTAAAAAATATATTTTTTTTTCATTTGTATTAAGCGCTAAGAGTCTTTCTTCATGACTAAAATATGCTACAAAAACATTTCACATTATCCTCTCACTGGAGTTGGGAAAATAAGGAGACTCTTCATCAATATTTTCAGAACACTACAGACAAACACAAACTGGGTGTGTACAAAGGAGTGTCTCAAGATCCTGCCATAGGAAAGTGCTGCAGGATTTGTAACAGAGTGGGAGGAAAATCTTCAAGTCCCAGAAAATGCCAAACCCTCCAGTAATTTAAACAGATAAAAGTGGAGAACTACAAAACAAAAAACTGTCCTGAACTCTGCTTAGAGACAAAAAGTAGCGATTGAGAAATCCAGATGTTAATAAAAGGTTCTGGTGGTTATCTGGTGTGTGGTATGAAACTATACCGTGTGGTCCAGGAAAAACACATTTACTCTGAAAATATATGAGAATTTCAAATGAAAAACTATAATCCAGCAGCACCAGTCCAAGTGTTCCGTGGTCGACTTGGAAAACATGCTCCAAACCCGAAAGTCTTGAAGAACAAGGCTTCTCCACAGGCTGGCAACAATACAAAATCACTTTTGTGTAAGAAATAAGTCGGGGTCAAGCTTGGGTTGCAATGTGACACTAATGCTCCTATACCACATCACACAAAAGAAGCAGAAGTAATCACAGGCGTGAGGCACACTGCAGATTAACCAAAGCTGAACTGCAGCTCAGCGATAACCTACATGCTTCCAGAACTTAAGGTAAAACACAGCCATAGGAAACCCTTCTCTCTTTTTTTTTACATTAATACACAAATACATAAAATATGACCACATGAAAACAAATGCAGAGCAAAATTTACATTTATTAAATATTTTATATCTGATTCCCTGAAGTGATTTTGACTTACTTGCTCATTTAAGCAAAGCAAATCTTGGCCAACTAATCCTAAACCTTTTACTTTATAATGCAGTTCTAAAATGACCTTTTAAAGACTTTCTCCTCTAACCAATAAACTCACCTCATAAAATATATATGCAATAAAAAGTACATAATTAAAATGACATGCACATAAACTAGTAAAATACAATATGATCATTAAAAAAAGTAATATGTTTTGTTACATAGTTGCTTTACGTTTTGCAGAAAAGCCTAGAAAATTACATAAAAAATAATAGCTTAAATGGCATTACTTTGAATAAAAACAGTATAGAAAAAAAGTGCATAAAAATGGTTTAAATGACATGCATGTAAACTAGGTAAACAATGCAGTCATTTTATTAAAAAAATATATAAAAAACATTTCAATCAAAAATAAAAGTACATAAAATAAATAGATTAAATGGCTTGCACTTAAACTAGGAAAACAAAATATGGCCATTCTAATGTTTCTATACAAATATAAACAATTAAAATGCAAACTAGTTTCAATTGAGACAGACAGCAGACACTGAGAGAAAGTCAATGAAGTCAATGAGAGACTCACCAGAGCGTTGATCCCTCAACAGCCAGTGCAGTAGTGAAGGAGTTGAGCAGAGCAGAGGAGAGAGTTCTGCTGCCTGTGCTTTCTTACGCGAGAGCTTCTGTTGCGCGGCAGTGGAGTTTAATGGAGTCGAGAGACTACTCTCTCAGGCTGAGCTGTGTTTGAGATACGATACTGTGGCTCTTTTTGTGTCGCCAACAAATTTGATCACGAAAACGCGGTTCGCGATGGGAAGGCTCTAATGTGACCCTTGACCTCAGCCTTTCTTTGCAATGCTATTTTCTTCTGAGGGCCACTTGTGTGCTCCACAATAACCCGAATCAGAAGAAGCGGCACATTTCGACAGGGGGAAAATAATGGCATTCCTTGCTCGCAATGTGGAGCCGGTGGGGGATCATAGCAACGGGGACTAGCGTGCCTTTAGGTTACAAACCCCCCCGCCACTCCGAAACCCCCCTCCTTCAACCATATCAATAAACAGAAGATGAACTGAGCATTTAATGGGGCAGTTTATGAATAAAGACTAGAGATTATCCATTGTAGACTGTGGAAAGCCAGACAGACGAGGCCCCTTGGAACTCAGAGAATGAGTGAGAAGAAATCGGAGTTGAAATCACAAGGCGAGCAGGACAGAGAATAACAGACTGGGGTCCTTGTTTCTTGGGTCCCTGCTGTGGACTGTTGGGGCATCATACATTGGAGCAGCAGAGGGCAAAAATAAGGGCACGTGATCCTCAGACAGATGTGGAGCCCCGAGTGAACAGCAAGAGCTATAATCTGTCTTTCATTCTGGAAGATCACAGCTGTGTAGGACATACATCATCTCTTTTTCTTCTGTCTGGGCCCGTCTTCAATGATATGCTAATATAGTTCGCTTTACTGAATGAGCCCACTATCCCACTATTTTACCAGAATAGGCTAAATAATACAGTGCCAATACTTGTGAGTCTTAATTGGGATGTCTTCAAGCCTCATTATATGCTGCCCCTCGAGACTTTGTTGCCCTGGGGGCAAAGCACAGTGTACCATGATTGTTAACCAGAGAAAAACCCATCTTCTGTCAGATTCAAGAGCTAAAACAGTTTGCTTTTAAACCGGACAAAACAACATAAGCATAAGGCTTATGGAATTCCCTTTTTGAAAACACGCAGAAAACATTGAGCTCTATGGCAAATAATCACAATGTACAATGCTGCGAGTTACACCTCATAGTCATTTATTTGGCAATTTCACTCAAATGCACCAATAATATGATCCACTGACTGTAATGATTCATTTATATCATTTAATATTGGTCAACCAGTAATCTGACTGAAATTACAGTCTTCACATTCTGGCAACATATTGAGGAAAAACAGCTTTAAATCTTTATCACAACAGTTGGCATCACATTTTGCAGTATATATAGTATATCACATTGAACAATAAATCCACACCATTATTTAGTTTGATAAATTCATGTTATTTTTAACATTTCCCATTGGTTGTGTTTTTATATGTGAATGTGTGTTTGTATATGTGAATGCATCTTTAAAAGAAAGGCACAGTAAAGTCATTGCTGGTCTGTTATTTTTAGTCAAAGTGTTGATTCCGTCTTTGTCCTCTCTTCTCATTAAGATACATGTTGACGTAGGAAGTCAGCAGGTCATCAATTTTATAGCCCTTATAAACACAGGATAAAATTCTATTATTTTAAGATCTGAAAAATTATACTTCAAATGGCAAAAATCTTATATATAAATATATATGAAATTATATATATAACATTATATAATAATTGTATATATATATATATATATATACACACATCACACACAAACACACTACTGGTACTGTATATTGTTACAATAAAATTTCTTAATTTTTATAGAAATTTTTATAACAATATAAAAATTATATTTTTATAACAATTTCTATTTTAATTATCAGCCACCATTACTACCGTCTCCAGTGTCACATGATGCTTCAGAAATCATTCTAATGTGCTGATTCAATATTGTAAACAGGTTTTGCTGCTAAATCATTTTTCATTTTTTCTTCTACTTTAATCTTACTTACCTCACACTTTTAAATTGTAGTGTATCATGGTTTCCACAAAAATATTAAGGAACAAAAACATTGATAATAATAAGAAACGTTTCTTGAGCACCAAATCAGCATAATAGAAACAGTTTTGAAGTATCATGTGACACTGAAGACCAGAAAAAGCCACATCTGTGTCACTTACCAGGGAAGTTTCACACAGGATTTTGTTCCCTCTGACAAGGTTTCCTACAGTCATGTGGAAGTATGTGCTTCCACTGCACCAGTTTGCAATTTTGTTATATGGATGCACTGCCAGAATGTCCTTAAAACAGTGTAACAGAGTTACGATACAGTACATGATTCATATTTTAAGTAGACATTGTAATTTCATATTCAAGCTTACAGGAACACTCATCTGAGGTGTTATACAAATGTTGCATAGGGAAACACATGATAAGCAGTTAAAGTGAGACAAAAAAGCTTGTTCAAAAAGAGTTATCAATTGATGATACCTTTGTTTTGGGGTGAATGACAGTGACGCCCTGTTTGCTAATGGCAATCCTCACAATGTCAGGGAAATTGGGCTCTGATGTTTGCTGTAATATCAAGAATCATTTTATAATTTTTTTTTTTTTTAAAGGGGTCATATGATGCTGCTAAAAAGAACATTATTTTGTGTATTTGGTGTAATGAAATGTGTTTATGCGGTTTAAAGTTTAAAAAACACATTATTTTCCACATACTGTACATTATTGTTTATGCCCCACCTTTTTGAAACGCGTCGATTTTTACAAAGCTCATCGGTCTGAAAAGCGAGGTGTGCTGTGATTGGCCAGCTATCCAGTGCACTGTGATTGGCTGAATACCTCAAGCGTGTGTCGGAAATGTTACGGCCCTTACCATACTGTTGATGCCGTGTCCGGCCGGAGCGACGAGAAAATCGCATCATATGACCCCTTTAAGTAATATTAGCAAAAATATTATTGTGCTGCAGACTCGAATTGCTTACTTTCACATCAAAAAAGGCACAGCCAAATGTGGGCCATTTGTAGACAATCTTTAAAAAGCCAATCACTGCCTGTTCCACAGTCGTGCCAGTTTGCTTGTTGTACTCAGCAAAAATGTGCTGTTGGAAAATGGTTATGAATAAGAAACACTTCAGAAGCATAATATTACTTATACATTAACAATGCACAGAATGCAGTGCAGTGCACTGGAACTGACCTTTTTCCATTCATCAGCAGACATGGCTTTAAGCTGGTCATTAGGCACCAGGTCTTTCAGCATCCTAGGAATCATGGGAAACTGAGTTTTATCATTGTCCACTTTCATCCTGAAGAGTAGAGCGCCTAGCATCACCATTTCTTCTTTGGTACTACGATGATAACCTCTCAAGTACTTGGGCAACTCCTAGATAGTGTGAGAAATATGGAAAAATATTTTCTTCAATGCTTTCAGGGAAGCTATATGGAAAATTTTCCAAACTTTTTAAAGAACGCAGCACAGATTGCCAGTACCTGTGGATAATGGAAGATGAGATCCGCCTCCACATCTCTACCAGGGATAATGTTGAACCATAGTTTTCTCATAAAGAAAACCGTGTAGGACACATTCACTGGACCACCCGCTGTTTAAAACAGTATAAGCAACAGCAGTTTTTTTTAAAAATTTGACTTAACTATGTAAAAATGGTGACTGACTCAAACTTGTTCCTTTTAGGGTACGTTTACACGACAACAAAGTACTAAAGGGTACAAACGACAATGTTGTCAAAACAATCCCCGTTCACACGGAGCCACGCAAATGTCTACAAACACTGTATTATGCATGCCAGGCCAGTAGTTGGCGATGTAACTTTGTAAAGAAACACCACAAGCCTGCGCACATACATATAGACTAAACATGTCACTATTTTCACAAATTCACAATTTTTTTTTAGTTTACACAGAGACGACAACAGAATCGTTTACAAAAACTTGCATTTCGAACCCCCAAAACACCACTGTTGTGTACATGAACAGCGAAAACGCATAAAGTTTTTAGCTGAAAATGGTGTCATGTAAACATTCCCTCAATCAGTGATCTAAAGATTAAAAACACCTAATAAAGTTATCAATCTTACCCTGATTCACTCTCTTTGCTCTCCTGGACCAGTCAGTAATCTGTCTCAGGCTGTCAAAGAAGTAGTCAGTTTCATTCAGACTCAGAACCTGACAGAAAGAAAATGCTAGATTAATATACAGACAAAGGTTATGTAAAAATGAACACGAAAAAATGAAAGGACATGACATGGGATCATTGGCAGAGCTGTAACCACTGTAGACATTGAGGAGGCAATGTCTCTCCCAATAATCAGACTAAGATATAACAATATATGATTTTTAAAAGGTCAGTTCTTAAACTATTGGTTTAGGATCCTGAATATGTGTTTACAGCCATGACTGTTAAATATAAATCATGGTAACCGGGGTACAAACCTTATCAGGAGTTTTCACAAAGATGCTGAAACCTTCAGCTGAGGACAACATAAGTTTATTAGCAATGGTCCGGACCAGGTCCTTTATCTTGGTGTTGGATGCCACCTCAAAATTCTGTCCAGAAGTGCGAGAAAACAAAAAAAAAACTTTTCAGGGACACTAGAATCATATTCCATGAATAAAATGCATGACTTGCATTGGCAGCAAATTGACTGTAGATTTCATGTTTATTCAACTGCTATTATTTTCAACATTTTTAACATTATAAAAGTTATTGAGGCGCAAACTACTATTGTAGGGCTAAAAAAATTATGCTGCACTAGTGCCTGACTGGGGAGCAGAAAAAAATTTGTTGATCCATGTACTGTGTGTTGCATTACCTCTTGAGTGTCATTGGGGAACTGAATTTTGTGGAAGATCTGGGTGCTGTTCTGCTGAATTGCATCAACCTCCACCTGGTGAGGTGGAAGCTTTCTGGGCTCCATTCTAGCACAAAAACAATGACAAATCTCATCTTACACACAGTAAACATACTATCACACCAAATCAA